TCATGCATATGTTGTATGCAGCTGTATTTAAATCTAAATGTTGGTTGAAGATATTTATTTAGTATCAAGAATGAACTGAATGATGTATTTTTGTCTCCTGCGGGAATTTGGAGAAAAAGACTCACATTTCCATGATCAGAATCTGCTCATCACAATGTCAAATCTGTTTTCTGCTACTAACATGACACAAACTCAGAGTTTTTCCTGTGTGAAAAACTACACATAGACCAGACCTTCTACAGTGTTGCATTATGAAGAGCTAAACAGTTCACACACAACACACACAGACATTTTTAGCGATATAAAGAAGCCACCTTAATTATTTTTCTGATCTTCTCCTCTCCCTGTTGCTCCTGAACGACTGAAAAAAAGAAAAATAAACAGACAACAATATTCTCAGGTAATTTTAAGGGTGAAGTAAATGGTCAATATACCAGTTAACAACACATGTTTAATTACACATTTAATAGGGGTTTTCTATATGGCAAAATATACTAAAAATGTAAAACTGTAAAATGTGAGGCATTGCGGTAGACAGTTTTAATATGCAGATGTATGCACATAATACTCATATTGGAGTAATAGATTTAGTATTTGTGAAACTGTTTTGTTTCTGGCTGTCTTTGCAAGATGCTGCTGATCACTGAAGCTCTTCTTCTCATTTTAGCTGCTCTAGGACAGGTAAGCTTGTGTTCTAGTATGAATATTACAGACATGAATACTGATGATTGATCATTATGATTCCAGGATTGCAGGTTGTAGAGAGAAAATGGCGAATCTGGTGGAGACAAAATATATGAAGCAAGAAATGTCTAACTCCGAATCGAAATTTGCAAATGCTTGGAAACATGCTGAAAAGAAATGCAAGCCAGGAAATAACTTGACAACGACTCATTCAGTCGCTATTTATGTGTACACTAGCTCTACGTTTGAGATATATAAGGATTTCAATAATGCTGTTCGAAATGAAAAGAAAAACCAAAACAAGAAATTAAAATGGTATCAACTTCACCTTTTGTTAACAGATGCAATACAGATTCTGAAAAAAACACAAAAGAAATGTTATTTAACTTATCATGGTAAAAATGTCAAATTTAAACAATGTTCAGAACAAAAAAGTTAGTTTTGGCTCATTTACATCCTCTTTTAATCGCAGTGGAACAAAGTTTTTTTGGAAATGTGTCTTGTTTTGAAATGTACACTTATGACGGTGCTGATGTGACAAAATATTTTAAGCTTGATCATGAGAAAGAGGTGCTGATTCCTCCATACGAGACGTTTAAAGGCACTGCTGTCAAGACAAGAGGTCAGAAAGATCTCTGGTGTGACACTGTGTTCACTTTGAAAAGCTCTGGTAAGAGAAGTGACCTGAACTCTATTCAAGAAACCACCCAAGACCATAACAAAATACTAAGACTGGCAATGAATGTACTGAAAAAAGTGTGTTGAATCTAAGATATAAGTTCACCAATTCCAACATTTGTCCCTCTTGGCTTAGTTTAATAATTCTTTGTCAGAAAACACTATTTGTTTGCATAATTTTAACATAATGAAGTAAAGCTATTTTAAGTGGCCCAATTCAGTGGCCTCGGAGTGATTTTATATACAGTGGGTACGGAAAGTATTCAGACCCCCTTAAATTTTTCACTCTTTGTTATATTGCAGCCATTTGCTAAAATCATTTAAGTTAATTTTTTTTCCTCATTAATGTACACACAGCACCCCATATTGACAGGAAAACACAGAATTGTTGACATTTTTGCAGATTTATTAAAAAAGAAAAACTGAAATATCACATGGTCCTAAGTATTCAGACCCTTTGCTGTGACACTCATATATTTAACTCAGGTGCTGTCCATTTCTTCTGATCATCCTTGAGATGGTTACA